CGTAAACATACTTTACATTATTGATAATCTCTTGGCGATCCTTGGTCAGCAATATTTCATGCATCGGGAACCGTTCCGCGAATACTTCTCCGCCCTCCCACCTCTTGGCTCTCCGGGACATGGCGCGTAACACGCTCCACCCTCATCCAAACCCAACGCCGCCATCATCTATAAGACACTGCCTCCCACAACAATCTTTGCCGGCCAAGGATCGCACAAGTTCAATGACATCGTCTCCCATCAGACTCTCTCCTCTGACAAGGTCAACATCGTCAATGGCATCGGCACAGCAAGTGGTAGCAGAGGAGCATGGGATTGGAGAGGGAATGGACCGTTGATGGTCGCGCCTGCACTTTGGGAGGTCTTTGAGAATGGGCATCGGGGAGAAGGAGAGCAGTGGGCTCTTACGTAGTTTGCAAGGACGCTGTTTAGGCTTGCGGGGATTGATGTATACTCGAGGAGGAAAGGAGGGCCTTTCTGAAGCTGTGATCGCTGGGATCAAAGAGGTCTTGGCTGAAGTTGAGATCATGGGGGTAAAGAGGCTGGCGGGTGAGATCTTTGAGGTCGAGAAGGGATTGAAGGTCACAGAGCGTGCACAGTAGATATTTGGACACAGACAGGCCATAAGCACTTGTACTAGCCACCCATCGCCACCGGGTCTCATTAATATTAACGGGCAGCGGGCCTTTGGACATATCGAGCACGAGTGAATAAGGCAAGGACAGCTTGGAAGCTCCAAATTTTAGATGGGGTGGGGGTTGGGACGAGAGGTGGGGACAGATTCATGCTGAGCAATCGGTCCAAAGACTTTAGGGCCCTCGGATCTGACATACCCGGATTTTGGACCACGACGCATGAGAGGAATTGATGGTTTCGACGCAGGGGTCAGGGGTCTCTGTTTGGCTTCAATCTCAAACTGTTACAACAAACGGAAGGAGAGGATGGAGACATCTGCTCGATTTAATTAGATGATCAGCTCGAAGAACGGGTCGAATTGTTGTTGGCGAAAAGCCACAGAAATCGTTTGAAGGTGTCTTTTGTATTCCAGCGTCAAGCCAGTTGACAAAGGTTCTCAGCCACTGTTTTCTCGTTTTCCGTGGCTGTGTACCACCCTCCGTCAATCAAATGCCTCTCCAAGCCTCTCCAATACTCCGCCTTCCCCTTTCCAGTCTTGAGATCCAAGTCACCAAGTCTGGCGTCAATGGAACCCTGGCCAATTTTTAGGTATAACGTACAGTCTCGCAACGTCATTGCAGCGAGAATATCCTGCGAGGTGACGTTGGCTTTCAATACTCCTTTGGGATCCTTGTCCATTTGAAGTTGCTTTAAGCGACGCAACAGTGGATCCTTAAGCAAGAAGTCGCGAATTCGACCTAGCATATCCCTCTTTGAACCGCTGTAATCCTGCAGTCGGTGGGGATCCAGACCCATGACGCGGCACACAGCGATAATGATTTGATCTTTGTCCATCAAGTCGAGCGGGCATAGACCTTGCTTGGATCCTTTTTTCATAGCTCTCAAAGCACACGTGCGACATCTCTTCGATTTCGACGGAGCAGATGGCGACTGAGCCAACCATTTTGGCTTGAATTCAAAGAACTTGAAAGTGTCGTCGTTGCAAGACATATCAGTGACCAACATCCCATGCATCTCATCCTCAGCTAGATAGACATCGTGGCGCTTCGCAGGTCTAGCGCCGTTCCTTTCCATCTCGCGTAATCTGGCGTTGCAGTCTATTAGGAGATCTTTTGAGGGCTGAAATAACATTTGCTGGACGAGGTTCTCGGATGGAAAGAGAGGTTTGATCATGTTTTCGAAGTGGTTCTGGGACGCGGCGACTGGAGTAGTAGAAGATGTCTTTTTCCTGAGGCGGACTAGCTTAGCTTCGAGACAAGGGTCCATGTGGAGTGGCTCGATGTCGGTTGGTGGAGGGGTGTTGGGGCCATAGCTTTCGAAGTTGAGGTCTGCGGAGATGCTTGGGTCCAGAGGAAGGCTTCGTATCCTGTAGACTACATTTGCTGCTCCCTCCGCTAGGTACACGAGTTGCACTCCATCATCAAGGCCGATAGTGAGCATGATTTATCAACGGCGGCTGTATCTGGGTAGGGGTCCCAGAATGCTTTAAGCAGAATATGAAAAGTCTACTCAAATGACAACCTCCCAGACGAATAACGTGGTAGAACGAGGGTCTCAACACCCGAGGCAGTTAAGGCAACGATATCAAGCAAGTATGCCGGACTAGAACGCTAGACAGAGCGTCGTCGAGGCTTGCACTTGAAATACAACAGAGAGTACATTTGACAGAACAAGAAGAGAGCACAATCAAAGCAAAAAGCCACCCAAGGTATTGAACAACGATTTCGTCAACGAAAACCGTACCGCAAAACGGAAAGAAGTCACGAAATGGAAGAAGAATTTTTTCGACAAAGTATATTCGAAACGTGAACAAAGCGGCCTTGGCATGGTCTTATGCGTAACTATTAACGTTCAGCACCGCGCCTTCGAAAATCTCACGAACATCAAGTCTCGCAATGATGGCTCCTCCAAAAGATCTTGACCTCGAAACCCTCGCAACCCCCGAAAATTGCGTAGCAGACTTCTGCCTCATCCCTGTATTTCTCCAGCTGCGGCTACAGGTGTCCAGGTCTAATCCTGCAGCAGATTGGGACCACGGTGTCAGTGTCGCAAGAGGTTGCAGATGTTCAGCGCTTGATGCAAAAGAGCCATCTCAGCTATTCGATGCATTCCGCAGGAACGACTGTGGGTGAGTGATGATTCATTATTGCGAAGCTAAGATGATATGTGGGGCAAGGCTGAACATTGCTGCAGAAGGTCCTTGGGATGATGTGATGCGTCTCATTGGTCAGGCGCATTTTATGTTGCACCAAAAAGGGGTCGTGAGGATACAGACTGATATTAGGGTCGGTTCAAGGTATGATAGCCAAAATAAAGCATTCGAGTCTTACGAACGCTCACAAGTCGCAGGACGGATAAGAAGCAGAAGTTCAGCGAGAAGGTGACGGCCGTGAATGAAATTCTAGCTGCCGATGTCAAGTGATGATGGAAGCTATGCCTCGATCATGTATGCACATTTATGAGGGATGAATATGCTAGCAAAGACACGCCCCACGCTATGCAGTATGTCCTTCCCAATGTAACGCTCCCAATGCAGCCCTCGCTATGCAATACCAAATCTTTGCTTCGTAATTTTTCCTCGCTTCGTCTTCGTTTCCCATGTCATATCTGATGTGCGAGCCACGTAACAAACAGTACAACCAGCCAGCCATAGCTGCCGAATCCGAGATTCGAAATGTCGCTAGCGCCGCTGCTTGAGGTAGGGGTGACTGAAGGCTGGGTCTGTCCTACTGCGGTCGTTGATATCCCATTCAAACCGTTGACTACGCTGATGGCAAAACCCTCATCAAAGAAGTCGACGAGCAGGAATGCAGGGGCCTTGCCGTAAGCGGCGGAGCAATCAGAGGCTGCGGCCCCTAAGCTTCCAGCGCCTGTCTTGCCATTGGTTGTGGTGACATTCGCAGTATCTGGGATGTCGATACCCAAGCCTTCGTTTGTGTCGAGGAAATGGTTCACAAGCGGCAAACGCCCAGATGATATGGCTGTGGCCGTCTGCTCGAATACCGCTGGTGGCCTATCTGCGACGCAAGAGAAATTGGACGAGCTGGTCACGTTGTACGGATTCTCAAACACAAAAGTGAACTCGTCAAGTAGGTAGGGAGCGACTGTATTCGTCGAAGGGTCCAAATCCGCAACGAAGGTCACCAGGCGAGAATTGTTGGAGATCATCTCTTGCAAAGTAGGCCAGGTAGCTAAGGCGGTAGTGCTTGAAGGCGGCTGGTACCCGTAAGAAGTAATATTTGCGGCTTCGAACTCTGCGTTGAGATCCTCTGCTGATGCATCGTCCGAATTCACCAATAGGATCGTGACCACGTCGTTAGGATTATCGTCCATCCACGTCTTAATCGTCGATAACCAAGCACTCAGCGTCCCGGCATCCAGCAAGCTGCAGCTAGTATGGCAGAGATGCCATGCCCCATTGTTGTTATGAACTTGTGCAGTGAGAAGGCGGACGCCAGCTGCGAGCTGAGCTACACTGTTGACGTTCTGATTGCCGGCATCGCTGAACGTTATGCTATTGGAAGCGGAGGCATTGTTGAGGAAGGGACTGTCGTGGGCACCGAGCTGTGTGATATTGGAGTAGGCTCTTGAGCAGAGTTGTGGAGAGTTGTTGCAAGCAATGGTCGCATTCCGCGCAGTGAGGATGGCACCCAAGGCTGCCTGAATTATCAGAGACCAGCAGAGAATACTTTGCATCTTGTATAGCTTGGGCAAGATGATTAATAGGGGTAGAAGAGGCAAAGGGTCAGTTCAGCAGCAAGGACTATTGTGGACCTGAGCGAGTGGACAGGCAAGGCAAAATTTCATCAATGTTGTAACGACTGGGGATGCGGATGAAGAGAAGAAGAAGAAGAGGAGGAGGAAGAAAGAAGATGCTGAAATGTACTTGGATCCCATCAAGTAGTGCTGATCAACAGAGACGAGACCTTCGAACAAGGCGCTGGTTTTGCCACCCATATTCCCAGACTCGTAAGCTCGCCGATGTCCCGGGCGGGTCTCTCTCTTCCGGCCTTCCTGCAGCTCGCTCAGCCTTCATCGTATGACTGGACGAATCCTTTTCCATACGATGCAGGGACACCACCAACCTCACACACAACCGAGGCTGGTGTTGATTACCAGCCATCCAAATTATGTGAAGGGGTGTGCTGATGACGCGCACGAGTGGGGCAAGATCGAAATAAGCAGGTTTAATTTAAATCGACACTAGTGGATCGCGGCAGCGGCCAGATGAGACTGCCAAGAATTTACCAATTTTTGAAAGTTTCCCCACACAAAGGAACATCAACCCTCCCATTCTCTTCCCTACACACACACACACGCGACATATATCAAACCAATCATCATATATCTTGCACCTATCCATCATGTCCGCTGCATCTTACTACGACAAGGCCGCCACCCAAGAGGAGACCTCTCACCTCTCATCGACCTCTGGACAGCAACCCGGCCCAATGCATTCCGGCACGCAGGGCTACGGCCAAGACATGCGCGAAGGCATGAACGAGCAACAGCAGCAGCGTGGTGTCCCTCAAGAGGGCTACAATCAGCAGAGCGGTAATGGCATCTACAATGGACAGGAGCCGAACATGGGCAACACCAACTATGCGCACGGTGCTCAGCAGATGAACGGCAACAATAACAACTATGCGCAAGGTGCTCAACAGATGGAAGGCAACGGAGCACAGGGAGCTGTGGCCGATGATAGAGACACTATTACCAAACGTAATGATAATCCTCCAGACTACAAGAAAAATGATATCAGGAACTCTCTCTTTGATAAATATATGTTCGATTATGTTGTCAAACAATTTGATTGCACGCGCTGGCTTGCCACTGACCGCCGCAGTACAAATATCACTTTTCTAATCTGTTGCTTTGTGTCTACAATAGTGCTTGACAGGATTGAGAAGAAGTTCGGTGGCGATCGCTTCAACAATCCTGAGAACGCGGAGAAGAACAAGGAGTTGAATGCCAACATTCTCAAGAGGGTGAAACAAGTTATGGGGATGGTGATGCGAGTACTGTCACTATCGTTGCAACAAGGCGCGTCGCTGACAATATGCAGGCAGAGGGGCCCCGGCATGCTTATGAATATGGTGAAGTGAGATGGATACCCATAAATAAAGATTTAGCGAGGAAGGTCACCGATTGAGATGTCTGTATGAGGGTCCATTATAAGCATAAACGAAAGATATCAAGCCAATAAGAGGCCATTAACCTAATAGCAAATGCAATTCCTTTCCAAGACAGCCGCGCCGGGGGTTTCCATACTGTCATTAATGTGTGTAGTGATCCCAAGCTAGCAGCTGATATCCCTTTGTTGAAAAGGGTTATCGGAAATATATGGTGCGAAAAGGCCAAGCTTGCCACTGAGAACGAATAGAGATGCAAACCTCAACGCCCGAGCCACGCATCTTGTCAGGCGAGCTAATTGTTTGAAGTTTGACAACGTCTGTTCAATCGGCGCCGGCAGCTGCCCTTGAATGATACGATAGTCGTACTCCGAGCTGCCATCGTCACTGGCCTTGAGATATTCAAACCACGTAATGGACTTGTAGCAAGGAAATCTATTCAGATCCACATTACTGATCTGGGAAACCCAAGCTTCTTTCGCCTCAACGGTGCCACCGTTGAAAGAGCCAGTCTCTCCGATGCAAAAGTGCTTGTCGTAGCGAGCAGCGAACCCATCACAGAAAGCGCCATACACGCTGGCGAAGGCTGTCTCGGCTGGAGGGTAGTCGTCCATGCCGACGATGTCGACATACTCAGCTCCAGGCCAGCAGGGTTGCATGTTCTCAACAGTGTTATAATTTGGGCACCAGAACATGAGGGTTTGGGAGTTGTTGGCTACAGCAGCGTGGACTTTCTGCCAGGCGGTGACGAATTCGTCCGTAGCTATTATGCATTGAATCAGTCCCATCTTGGATATCTGCCTCGTCGGTACTTACTGCCTCCGGCATAGACTTGCCCCTTGCCGGCATACCAATTCATCTCATGCGCGAAACGAAGCCAGAGTTCAATGCCATGGGAATGAACTGTTCCAACACACCTGCAATTTGATCCGCAACGATTGAAGTGATGTCCAAGAACTTGACTTTGGTTGGCATGATAGCTGGTATGAATACAGTGCCGGACTGCACGATGTCTCCCTTGATGCTATCGAACTGCTCGCCGATGTAAGGAAGCCCCCTGATCTGGGAATTGTATCCGTAGCTGTTCTCAGTGAGCACAAGATTGAACTGTCTGATGACGACGAGATCTGACGCGCTAGCTTGTTTGCCTGTGAGTCCATTGATGGTGGACATCAACATAATATCTCCGCCGGTACAACAGTCAGGTAGGAATCCCCAATAAACTCCTCCGGAGCTTTGCATGCCACCTAGGGCGCTATCATTGCCGCAAGCATCCTAGATTGGTTCAGAATCTGCAGTTAGCAGCTTTCAATGGGTTCAGCAGGTGCGTACCCTTCCTTCTAACATCGCAGCGCAGCTGCCGTCGATGATAAGAATGACCAAAGTAGACAGCTCGACCTTGATCTTTCCGGCAAGCGATGCCAATGATTTCTGGTGTGCGGTATGCTTGAAAGGGATTATGTTCGGCTACTTCTGGAGTGAATGAAGTAAAATGTTTTTGACTCTCAGCAAACGGCGCGAACGGCCTATATACTCAAAAATAGCGTATATTGTTCACCATGTTGTGAACCTGTGTTTCCCAATATACTTGGACAGCCTCAGGAGACATACACGGGGCGTAATAGATGCCTCAGTGCAGAGCAACGATGGCTTGATTGAGAAGGAGGGCCAAACAAACACGATGAAACACTGCATTTTCCGGCAGACATGCCAGAGCCGAAGCTCAATCGCCTCGTGTTTATCAGGATGGGCGGAAGTTGCAAAGGATCGGAATGTCCAAGCACGAGCTCGTCGGCTGCAGGAGTTGCCTCAAGAATCATATCGTCCACCCGGCTCAAGCCTTTTTCGGGCCCCGTCAAATCAAATCCACATGGCTTTGGCTGCCGCAGGAATTCTGAAAAGACAGATGCATAGGCCAAACAAAGCGCACTCTCAATAGACAAGCAGGCAGTGAGACTGAAGGTGTACGGTGGCCTGTGAAAAGATGTGAGTGGGTCTTCAACGCCTCCTTGGCCACGATCCAAGAGGAGACCACGTGGTATGAAACCTTCGGCAGCCATCTTGTCAATACCTTAAAAACCGGCCGTCTACACATTCGGAAGGATCCAAATGTAGCCGTCAGCTGAGAGGTGAGCAAGTAGGGTGCATTCATACGGTTGGCCTCGTCATTGCAGCTCTCATTATACATGTCAAGCTGGCACTCAAAAAATAGGATTGCATTGGGGAGCTTGAGTATGAGCGTGTCAACGGATGCCGTCTGGAAGGCATGCTTCCTTGATGAATTGGAGAAGAGCGGCCAGGGGCAAAATGTCACGAACTGCTGGTCTACTTCCTGACTGGAAGTACCTCGCCGCAGCTGGCTAAGCCTTACGTAGGAAACGCTTGACTGCGACTCAGCAATCGGAAGAGGTCAACATTAGGGTTCCCAGAACTCTACCTTAAGGTACTTTGCCTACCTTAAGGCTGAACGTCGACGCCAAAGCTACAGAATGATGTGCATGAGAACGGGCACTTACCGAGTGCCAAGAGATGGCGATGGCAGGAGAGCGGATTGATGGTCTAACGGTCTAACGACCCGACCCGACCCGCCAATGTTGTCCCTCGGTTAATCGGTCACAGACACAGTCACTATAAACATTCTATGCTTTCACTCGAAACACGAGATTCTTTTTCTATCTATACATACTTATACTAGTCTCTCCTACACTGCCCAAGAATTTCGTCCTGACGGCGTATGGCTGACTTCGTTTGCGTAATAGAATGCAGGCACTTTATCCCACACCCCCATCCCCCTTCGTCTCCCATCCAAACCAAACTCCCTCGCTCTACCCAGAACCCCTGGCTTACCACGGGCGATTCCGTTGAAACGTCTGAACAACGCACCTAGGACTGCCCGAAATCTGAGAGGCCGTTGACTTCCCAGCCGACTACGATGGAGCATACCGCCGTGCCGTACCACAGCGATGAGAGTCGCCACTACGGCTATGGTGCTCTTTCTGATTCCATAGGCAGCGTCCAGCTCAGAGCATTCGGCCCCCCAGAGTTCACGGGAGTAAACCGGGCGCGCTCGATGCCTTCTTGGCTAATATCAGAGAAATCCTACCGCATATATCGTGAATTTGCCGGAGTATGGCATCACTGGTTGAGGCGAGGGTATTCGTCTGCCTGCTTCTGAGAGTTCAATCAACACTCTTCTCTAAGCACTTACTACTATCTCGAAGTGAATCTTTCTTGAGGCATTGCCCATTCCAATCATGTTTGGGGCTTGATATCGAGATGAGCCTTTGCTGCGTTTCGAAACCTCGAAGCCCGCACTTCCAAACAATGGTTCTGTTGGAAGCGTACATCTTGTTATCTTATATCTGTGAGAAGCTGGTGTCGAAGGCCTTCGTTTCTCTGGCTTTCGATGATCTTCATTATAGATACAGTCAATCTCACTAATAAATCTATCTCATTCTTGGTATTCTTTTCTGGTTACCATCGCTAATTCAAGCTTGCTGCAAACACTACTGCAATGTCTCTGCACAACAAATATGAGAGAATGAAGGATGGCGTCGAAGAGTTCAACCACCAAGTATGTCCAGACAAATGATTTGTGCCATCTGCGTTGCGCCTGCCCCTGTCACAGCTGACAAGTGCTGTAGCGTCACCTCAAACGTCCCACCCACAAGAGAGATGTATTCTCTAGAAGAATGCAATTCGACCAAGCCAGGTGCATGGAACCTCCGAAGGCCTTTGCTACGACTAGCTTCCGCTTATATCTGATCTGTGCCGTCGGCTTTTTATGCTCCACTATGAATGGCTATGACAGCTCCCTCCTGGACGGACTTCTGCAGAACCACGCTTTCAGAACCTACTTCCATGGGTCCAATAAGGGATATGGATGGGAATTGTCTCTTTGCTGTACCAAATCGGCTTTCTCCTCGCAGTCCGGTTCTCTGGTCCCGCCTTGGATACGTGGGGTCGCAGAAAGGGCATCTTCATCGGCGTCTGTATTGTCATGACAGGTACTTCTATTCAGGGTACGACGATATACACCCACAGCTTCTCTCAATTCATGATCGGCCGATTCTTCTTAGGCTTTGGGGCTCAGCTGGCTACTTGCGGTGGTCCAGTATACGTCGTGGAGATGTGCCATCCCGCCTACCGAGGTGTCGTCACTGGTCTCTATAACACCTTCTGGTAAGCTGCCAGTCATACCTATAGTCACTAGGCTAACCTTTGCTCGCGTCGATGTCGGAGAGGATGGATCTTCTATCCTCTCGCCCATCGGACTTTCGAGCATCAGGATCAGGATCCTGTCGCAGTAATCGGGCCAGTATTTGGTTCCTGCTAAATGGAGGATGGGAGGTAAACAGCCACCGAAGATACGACCTGTTGCTTTGCGAGGTTGTAGCCATGTCCGACCGGGCGATGGAGATTGTTCTCCAGGTCGCCGGGAGTCGGTGTCAAAGTCAGGCAATTTTACGGCCCATTTGAAGGACCTTGGCATGGGGCCGATTGCCTGCCGGCTGAACTCTGAAGCACGTAGAAGAGATGGTCGATTGTGAACGGCAATGGCTGTGGGTAATCCCCCAACTCTGTGATGGCGGCGCTGCCATAGAAGGTTCGAAGACCGGCCTGTGTGAAAAAGGTATGATGCAAGACACTAATATCAGAGTATCCGCAAAAGATCTTCGGGTTCGCTTTGATGAGCTCGTAGTCTAAGTGCGGTAACAGCTCGTTCGCGTGACTGCCACCGACGGTGCAGATGATGGCTTTGATTGATTGATCTGCGAAGGCAGCGTGGATCTCTTCGCATCGCTGGAGGATTGAGTCTCTGAAGGTGACAGGTTCGGAGTCGTTGGATATGACCTTGACGTGGTAGCCTAGGCGTTCTAGATGCGATTTTGCGCGTTCAAGTGAAGCCAGGGAGACGTGGTTGAGGCGTGCTGGAGGTGATCTGAAGGCTATTGTGTCCGCTCTACGGAGGGCGAGAGGAATTGTTCCACTTACCATGATATCTTCGTGACAAATTAGCTCAATGCTCACATCGCATTGCATTGCATTGCTCCACTTTGTACGTGGTAGTGAGATGACCAATGTCGTCAAGACTTTTTCAACAAGCTTCGCCTTAACAATGGCGGAAATCCGGAATACAGCACAACCACTCGCTTGATCCGATATTCTTCGAATATCACCTCCCAAAAGGGGACGCCGACATGTAAGAGATATGTGAAAGGCTGGTGTTCGACTTAGTATTTACCCCAAACCCACCTTTGACTCTGACTATGCATCATCCCATCAGGGTCACGTGTACAACCGGCGAAAGCCTAAACCCGAATCTTTCACAAAATGAGTGGAGGATCACTGTAGGTCTTTCTCATTCAGCAATTATGAGTAACATTGGTTGTAAGTCATTATCACTGATTTGAGCTGCACTATTACGACAATCACTACCAGTTCGTCCTCAGTTACTTATGTCCTATTATAGCACACTGGCAAGTCTCGAAGGTCTACTTGCCAGCAACACTACTTACCATCTTCATCCTTTTCTCGGAGGTGTGTGCTTTCTTCAAGACAAACATCTACAGCCCATCAAGCACCAATCACCGCCTCGACCGATGTTTGGGCTACTGCGATTGCTAATGTTGCCCCCGTAATGACCCTTGTCGGCGAACGGAACGCCAGAGAATTTCTGCGGGTGTCTTCGTCTCATTATCGGCTGTTCCTAATGGCAACCGCGCCACTTGGAATTTTCTTATTGATGATGTGTGCGATTCGCCTTAGCGGACCCCGTATCCTACGGCGACTCACTGGTCGTGAAGCGGACCCCAAGAGCGAGGCTCTGGTCGAGCTGACGCCGCTGAGTGTAGCTCCCACAACGAGTGTCTACACACAACATGCTGTGGAGATTAAGCCAAGTGAGCGGCGTGACGAAGCCGCATTCGTTTGTGTACATATCAAACAGACGGACAGTGTACGAGAAGCGTTGGCATCTTTCAAGCACATATTTCGCTCCAGAGTCGAAAAGTTGAAAGGTGATGGCGATGGCAATGCCAGCACCGATCAAGAAGACTACGAAATCGTACTTGGGATGAAGAGACACCCGTTGACCGCAGATGAGACGGCGAGGCTTGTATGGTCCGTTATAGCGGAGAATAGGGAGATCGAAAGATCGCTAGCCGAGAGCGTCAAGTCAACATCTCTCAGTTTCCGTGCGACGGGAATATGTCCAACTCAAACGGCCGCAATAGACCGTACCGCGAACCGCAGAGTGATTTCGAAGCTGCCCAATCTAGGCAACATTCTTGCTGGAGTCGGCTCCTGCATTGCTACGGGCGGAGTCCAACTTGCCGGATACTACGGGCTGCAAACGGAAAGTACTGGCCTTAAAACACTCGTCATGGGACTCGTCGGATACTGTGGTATTGTAGTTTTTGCATTCATACTGCTTTTGATAATCAAAGACCAAATAGAGGTCGACTCTCAAGACCTTCAGCCCATCTTCGATGACCCAGGCGTTGTATGGATATTCAGCGACTCGCGTCACGCACAACATCAATCTTTTCACAAGCAGCACCAACGGAACCTTGTGCAAGCTGCTCCAAAGAAACAATAGTCCTCACTAAAGCGACAGGCCATCACTTCCTTCGTCCGCGCAGGCCTCATGGGATCTTACGTGGTGTACTATCTAGGCGTACGAGTCGCAGTATGGTGGGTAGCTTTCGGAGAGCTATTGATAGTGTGACTTTCGGCTGTTTTTCGTGCTTGGCGTATTAAAAGATTCCTCACGGCAAATGACCGAGAACTTGGCGAACACTAGTTAGGGACCTTCAGAGATGACGTCCCCAAATCTCTTCTCAAGACCGTTGCAATCATGGAGTACAAGACAGTCAGCTCAAGTGAACCTTCCGAGAGCATCGGAGAGAAACCGGTCTCGAGCCCAGTACTTGAGGAAGTATCCCAATTTCCGTCGCCAACATTATCCAATTCCGATAGTGAGAAGACGATGTTGTGCTCGAACGGGATCAACCGATCTGATGAATTGGAAACCACGGAAGCTTTGACCGAGAGCTGCACTCTAGTTGTTGCAAAACCGATCCGTCAATCCCTTCGAAACTGGTCAGGATGCGAAGACATAATGAAAGTGGCTCTCGAAATGGCAAAACACGTCTGCCAGTCTCAAAAATTTCGCAACCCTGGTCACCGGCTTGATATTTCTGACGTCCCGAGCTTCAAGCGCATCATTAGATTTCGGCTCATGATTTACGTGCCTGGTGTTCCATGGAAAGCCAATACCGACCTAGACTACATCGTAACCGAGGACTTCGATCTCCCTAACCTGTACCGCGACATCCTCAAGATATTCCATCTGTGCACGGAGGTAAATGGGACTATTGTCAGACATGAGGCTCGGACGAAGGAAGCTTCAGCGGAAGTCAGCAATGTGCTATGCGGTCCCCTCCGTCCTGTGACTGAGTCCAATCTTTCAAACGGCTGCACAATGACTCTTACCGATCTACTAATCGAGCTCCGCAACCAGAACTCTGTAGATATGAAAGCCTATACTTTAGACCAATCTGTCCTCCTCCCCACAATCCAATTAGCAACCATGTACGAATCCAACCGCGATGACCGCAAGAACCTCTTCTCCCGCATTCAAGAGTTGCAGAATGGACACACGGACAAGCTCCGCGTGAGTGGCGGCAAACACCTCCCCACTCTGGAAGCCATCTTCGAAGAACGCAAAAATTGGCAGCATTTCATGACGCCGAAGCCCCCAGAGCCGTTGTCAGGGGCGCTACAGCCGAGAGATGAGACGAGTGGGCTTCAGGGAAAGCCAGCAAGGAGGAAGGCTACAATGAGGGAGAAGCGGAAGGTGAAATTTTAGTTGCAAGATATGGCGTTTAGGAGTCGACCAGGCAACCCTGGTCAGTAGATGGAGGGCTTTGATGATTTTTGGACAAACGCGAAGTGTGCAGACACCTGAGGCATTCTTGCACGGAGATCCGAAAGTGAGATATCGAACGAGCCATACTTGATCCCCCAAATTTTGCTTCTATACTTGTCAAGACTGAATGCGTCCCTAGAAGTTGGATTTGTTGCTGTACCTAAATACACTACTGTAGTGGCGATTTGGGTAATTGTGTCCAAGAAACCCCAGCGTGGCATGGGATGTCAACCTTTGTCTGGAACTGGATAGAGACTGCAGTATGGCGACAACACTAGCTATGCAGATTTCTACCTGTGCACCGTGGAAAATCGCTTATGCAGTAGTGGTAACCCACGCTAGGCCAAATCGGACCGCACAGTGTTGCGGGACGGCTCAAACCGTGGTTTCCTCTGAACAGTGCCTGAGTACCACATCCACATACAATCGCATCCAACCAAATGCCACCGCCATCACCATCATCCCTCCCAAAGTACGTCTACAAAATCCTCTCAGAAGCGCCTCCAGATCCACTGCCAGTCAGCCTACCGCTCTCTGCTATTGATGCCCAAGACGGCTTCATACATCTTTCCACCGCCGCACAGACGCCTGCTACTGCTGATCGCTTCTTCTCTGCGAACAAGAAGCTGTGGGTGCTTAGGATACCTCTGAAGCAGATTGAGAGCAACGTGAAATGGGAAGAGGCGAAGAGCGGCTGCTTTGCCCATCTTTATGGAGCGGACCTAGGGCAAATGGAGATTGAAGACACGAAGGCGTTCACGAGAGGTGAAAGCGATGATTGGACTGCCATTCTCGAGAAGGATGAATGGCTGTCTTGAGATCTACTTGGACAGCTCCATCTCGGTGCTGTTGAAAGGCCCAGGACTTGGCAACCAGCGGAATATGATTACTGAACACTATGTCATCTCGGCCTCAGAAGCTCACACCACTGCCTTATGGTCCCCTCTCCATCTCCCAACCCCGGTACCCAGTATACTTCCCTCGCTCCACGCAATGCCAATCCCTCCCAGAAACCCTTGACCACCGCTTCCCCTACTTCCCAGCCCTCCTGTTCCTGCTCCGCCTCTTCACGAATCCACGTAACCTCGCAGACCGCTCCTCTTCCCATCTGCCCACCTCCGCTGCCACCTTGCCTCAACTCTCCAACTCTAACCCTAAAATCGCCAATCTCAAACGCATGCCCATAACCTGCACTTAGTATCTGACGCTGCTGCCACAGTGGGCCAAACTTCGAGATTATGAGTTGAATGAACTCTTCGCTCGATGGACCGGCGGCAATAGAGATTATGGTCGCCGGCTCCCCGCTTGCTGCTTCAGCACTTATATTGGATGAAGCTGGCGTTGCGGCTTTGATCTGAGAAGCGCTGTGGGTGGTCGTGATGGCGACAAACGTCCGTGGTGCGTGATGAGAGAGGCTCAGAATCTGGAGAAAGCGGGGACCGGGAGGTTTGGCTTTGTCCACGCCATTCGTGAGAGAAGGGAACGGCTGGGCGGAGGGCTGGGTGAAGGGCGTCTCGCGGAAAATGCGGTGGGAGAGTGTCCAGGGAGGCAGGGGAGAGAGATCGTAGTAGGAGGTGAGTTTGGCGAGGATGTCTTGGGTAGGATTGGAGTCTGGGCCGGAGGCGGGTAGGAAGTAGAGCGCCGTCACTGGCATGTCGCGATAGAATTGGTACTCAAATCATGGTGGTAGGTGTACCTCTAGCTTATCCTCCAGATCTCTCAGAGATTGAGGACCAGCACTCGCTCGCTCTGGCGCAAAGTTGAGAACAAGGCGTTGGAATGCGCAAGTTGACTCGGTTTCCGAGGTTTGACAGCCAAGGCGCTATCTTTCAGGCCTCAGGCATCGATTTCTACCCTCGCACGCTGCTTCAATAATATTAGACCACAGCTTTACGATTTCCACTTCTCCGCTAAAAATCAGGCATAAGAAGTCTCCGGGACTGAAAGTCACGAAGTCTTTCTGTGGAGCACTCTGAGCCACTTGGTACACTTTGTTGCTGCCTCCATTGCCACTGCTCCTTTTCGGAAGATTAGCGCAAAATCAGGCATCAGCTTTTGTACAATGCAAAACGCAAGACCAAGCACACTTCCAATTTTACACAGTCAATGATGATCAGTAAAAAGCCCACGTCGCTGTTCTGATATCTCTCATTTTCATTTTCAGCAAAGGGCGTTGTTTGAAGCGGGATGGAGCTCATCAGAAACGCCCACGCCCTGCTACCGCGGCGGCTAACCCAGATGTATGTCGATACGAAGAAGAGCTACGAACAGATTGTGCAAGCCAACATCACCAATCCTCAACTCTCCTCATTACATCTCAAGCTCAGAATTCAGAAGGATCGATTGGTGGCATGGGGTTTAGAATGGGCCGACTCGAAAGCGGATCAAACCGGCGACATTGATGGATCTCTGGATCGGGCAGGCATAAGCGACCTGGTCGCCAGTATCATGTCATCTATCAGAGAGTTGCTCGATGAAGCAGAGCGAATTCAACCACGTTCACCGCCACAGCTTCCTGGAGGGTACCCTGTCGACAAGGCAGGCATGCTATTCAGTCCTACTAATCAGTGGACATCTATTGACTTGGCGCGCCTCGAAGACATTGTCAAAGATATCACGACCTCTATTGACACGCTATGTGATCTATCGAGATCACAAGAGATTCTTCGCCAAGGCTCTACTAGTCAGAATGAAAAGCGCTCCGCTGGCCAAAGCGAAAAGCTATCTCCAAATGCGGTTTTCAACCCCGGAAAGTCGGGGGTAGCCCAGGCTCAAATCTCCTTAGAGAACGCTACGACGGCTGGCAAGGAGTCCATACCATCCACATGGTCGCAAATCGCCGTCTCGACACGAATTGATCCCAGCAGATTGCGCTTCCCAGAGGTGAGACAGACGACCGAATCGTCGCCGCCATCGTACGAAAATATTGCAAACAAATCCGATGATCGAGTGTTTGCCTGCTTACTCGATGTGCTGCCGTCTACCGCGCCACGAAACCAGTCCGAAGGCAAACCGGTATTGCTCGATTATGGCTTTGTTCGGGACGCAGACCCTGCGACTGGTCGTTTACCATCACTGCGGCGTTATGAAGAACTTTGCAGAGCTCTTGACCAAAATTCAGATGAATCCCGATGCCGGTACACAGGAACAATGAGACTTCTCGGTTGGTTTGTGGACCCTCATCGGCCAAGGTATGCCTTCGTCTATGAAGTACCTAGACCAGCTTCTCTGAGTATCTCGTCTCTCGATCAGCATCACTCGCCGCAGAGCCTATTATCGTTCCTTCAACATGCCGCCAACACTGTTAGCAACAATATGCCTTGCTTGGAGGACAGGTTCCGGCTTGCGTTCCGGCTTGCGTTGAATTTGCTTCACATCCATGCTAAAGGCATATCCCACCGGAATATCAATAGCAGCAATGTTGTATTCGTGGATGAGAATCGGCCTGCAGATACCAGCGCTACGCCGTGGAAGGATGGTGCTATCCGACATCCATTTCTCACTTCTTTCGACACCTCCGCAGAGGATACACATGCTGCACATCAAGAAAGCTTCATTTCGAGCATCTACCGTCACCCGATGGCTGAGAGTGGTAAAAGGACTGCATACAAGCCTGCTTACGACATCTACAGTCTGGGATTGATTCTATTGGAGGTAGGATTGTGGATGCCAATCCATCAACTTTGGAAGACCAAATACTCACACCAGATTTTCAAAGCAAGGCTACAGACCGTGTATTCAAAGAAGCTCGCCGGCAAATGTGGGAATAGGTACATGCGTGTAGTGGAGTACTGCCTGAGTGCTGCCGACGCCAGGCACATAAATCAATCCACCGGAAATCAGCAGTCCAGCGAAAGACAGCAGCCAAAATTGCAGACGGACTTTTATTGGAATGCCCTCAAACCTCTAGAACGATGCTGCATGATCGATGACGACGATCAACCCATCATACTGCCTGCCCCGTTTACCTCTGGTAGGCCTGAGCCCCTGCCAGTGGCTAGTGAGGAGGTCTCGGCACCAGTCCCTTGGCAAGCGCTCAAAGTTGATTCCCCTACTCAACCAGGACACAAATTCGACCTACTAGTCTGGTCGCACAACATACCTCAGCCAGCCCGCGCGTATTTCGATACGGTCATGATGCCGAGGTTGGGTCGCATGCTTGCAAAGGCGATCAACAGGTGGGAATCCTACGAAATCGACGTATTTATGGCTGGCAAAACCCCCGAGACGGCCAAACCAACAGTCTTGATGGTCTGCAACAGCATCTTAAGGGCTTGGAAGATCCTGGAGTACGTCAACCAGGACAAGGGAATGTTCGACATTCAAGTCGCTTCTGGCCAAATTACTTGGTCGAAAAAGAAGAAACGGCGACAAAAGAAGGCTGTTGCCACAGAAGTGAGCCAAACAACGGGTCGACAACCCTCACGATACCAAGAAAAACCGACATGTGGAGCATCAATTGGTTGTTTTGTTGATGAGCAGCACTCGGAAGCAGTCACATTTGGGGGTATAGTCCTGGTAAATGGTGAGGCCCATGGGATGAGCGTACACCATATGCTCCAAGAAGATCAGGAGCCTGACCTTAGCTTGGACGGGTTGGAGAGCTTGTTGCCCGACGAAATGGCTATCCTCGACATTTCGGAAGACAAACTGCATGACCTTGAGTGTCTTCGAGCCCTCGATTCGGACGACTCTCAAATGGTCGAGGATATCAATATGGGTGATTTGCCTGGTACCCGGCCTGGCGAGGGTGAGCATGTCATCGTCACACAGCCAGCTCTGGACGACGTTGACGAGAATTTCTTTCCGGACGAAGACGAAATGAGTGATGATCACCTTGTGAGCCATGGCTTAGGCAACATCCATGCATCCTCAGGGTTGAGACGTTTGACCTATGGATCTGTTGCGCATGAGGTCGATTGGGCGCTGTTTAAAATCCACAAAGAGCGAAGAGCGTCAACAAACACAGTAGAAGGAGGGGCCAAACATTGTCAAGCTCAGGGTTCATACCCCTCTCAAGTGCTCAGAGCCGAAACACTTGGAAGCCTACGGGTCCATGCATACGGTTCAACGAGCGGGCTTGCCACGGGAACAGTACTACCAACGATGCAACAAACCAAGATGCCGGGAAGGGTCTACCCGTCTCCGGTATGGCGAGTCAAGGGCGACTTCGGAGTGGGGGGTGATTCGGGTGCCTGGGTGATTGATAACGCAACTGGTGGGGTATGCGGCCATGTTACTGCCTACTCAGAGTTTGGCCAATACGCTACAATTGCACCAATGGAGGTAATGCTCCATGATATGGAGCAAACACTGGGGGTGAGCGTAGCTCTACCGCCGACACATCACGGGGCTACAGCCGCTGCACTCATGTCGTTCAAACATCAAATCGTCGCGAACGAACCACAATTGACCGAAATTAAGGGAAAGCATCCCATCGACAGTGACCATTACCGGCGCCAAAGCATCGATTCCAACTACATATCAGGTAGCGAACCCGAAGACGATGTTGCAAAAGGAACTACTGCCCCCTTAAGCCCCCCACTTGCGACTTCACCACCAGCATCATCGCACGAGCAAATGGCGGATCTCAGCCTTGACGAAGTTGCAAAGAAATGGAACAGGGAGCAAGGGAAGAGGAACAGCCGGGGCGGCAGCCCCATTAAAGGCAAAGGATTCGCGGAGCCAGTGCAGATGAAAGGAGAAGGCGTTCAGGCAAGGGGCTGAGGGTTGAGACTGCTAGAACGGGCGTTTTTGACGGGCGATTGGGTTTTATTCACGTCCTGCAGCTATATACCCCATTTGTGGACTGCAGTTAGCTGAGATCTTTGCGAGAAGATACCCTCTTTTTGGAAATGTTTACGCAGCTTTACCATCTGACAACAATCTGAAATGAACACGTTCTCGAATTTTGGGCCACTTTCACGATTCGTCAGCCTTTAGGCACCCTTTTCCCAGAGTCTTCAATCCCAAATCTTTTCCCAAAATATCGACAATCACGCTCGCTCTCAATCGCTCCGCACGCCTCATTCCCTGACGATCAAGCCCGCCATCCCCATCCCCGTGCCAACACACATACTCACAACCCCCACGTCCCCCAACCCTCCTCTACCCATCTCGCTCAAAATGGTACTCACCATCCTCCCCCCAGTCGCGCCCAACGGATGCCCTAACGCTATTGCCCCACCTCTAGGATTAATCCTACCCTCTTGCAGCGCCTTGTCCAACCCTAATCTCCTTACACAATAGAGTGCCTGACTCGCAAAGGCCTCATTGATTTCCCACACACCTACATCCTCTTTGTTGATTTCCAGGGAGGAGAGAAGGGCGGGGATAGCGTAAGCGGGCCCAATACCCATTTCATCCGGCGCGACGCCCACGACTGTTGCCCCGGCGAATTTCCCTTTGATAGAAGAGGAGAGACCGAGGGAATTGGCGGTCGAGCGACGCATCATGAGAGATGCGGCGGCGCCGTCGGAGATTTGAGAGCTATTGCCTGCCGTTGTGGTGCCGGCCTCTTTGAAGACGGGTTTAAGCTTAGCCATGGATTCTGTGGAGGCGTTGTGTCGAATTCCGTCGTCTTTGGAGACTTTGACGGTCTCGCTGGGCTGAGGGGTGGGGCTGCCGTCGCCGTCGCCTTTGCCTGGTGGATTTGTGACGGAGACTGGGACAATTTCTTTGTCGAATAGGCCATCTTTTTGTGCTTTGGATGCGTGGATGTGTGATGCGGCACCAAAGGCGTCCTGATCCGCTCTGCTAATACCATACCTCTCCGCTACATTCTCACTTGTGATGCCCATTGGCATGATGCAATCCCTCGCATCTTTTACCCCACTTTCCTTCAACTCAGGCCACAACTGCGTCGGCACAGCTTTCGAACCGTAATTCCTCGTCATGCTTTCCATGCCCGCGCCAATACCCACGTCTATCCGTCCGACGGCGATACTGTCGGCGATGGTAGTGATGGCTTGGAGGCTGGATGCGCAGGCACGGTTGACGGTGTAGAGAGATGTACTAGATGGGTAGCCGACGTGATTCAGGGCCATACGGGCGGCTTTGGAGCCGCCGAGTTCGGAGAGGACGGTTCCGACTGCGACATCTTGAATGGCGGAGGGTGGGACATTGGGGTTTTGCGTGAGCGTTGCGCGGAGAACCTGGCGATCTATGAGTCGGGAGCAAAGAGAATGGAAGGGGGGACCAACAGTAGCGAGCATTTGCTCTGGGTAGGCATTGCGAAGGCCGCCTTTGAAAGATCTGGTTATGGCAGTACGAAGAGCGGAGAGGAAGACCACGTCATTGGGGTGTTTTTGGAGGATGTTCTTCAGTCCTTTTTGAAATTGTGCCATAATGGAGGGAGATGGGGGTGGAAAGTGCTCACCAAGAACACCATAGGGGCTTTCATGATCGGATAGAACTCTGACAGGAGCAATGGCAAAAGATGGAGAAACCCACGTCAAGTAGTGAACGGGATTTGCCCGCGGTTGTCAAAAGCGCACTAGCGGCCCGTCTTTATTACCGGCGCAAGATGATGTCCGACAAGATGGCCCTCGACGTACACAACCATCAAATGACTAGAAACATTGTGGTAGGCGTGCTCGCTCTGCAAGGGGCTTTCTACGAGCATCTCAAGCTTCTACAAAGAGCTTTCCGAGAAGTAGCCATTGGCCAGGACGAAGGATGGGAGTTTGTGGAGGTTCGCACCGCACAAGAGCTCGAGAGATGTGATGCTCTCATAATTCCTGGTGGAGAGAGCACGACCGTCTCTCTAGTGGCAGCTCGCTCGAATCTTTTGGAGCCACTGCGAGACTTTGTCAAGCAAGTTGATCCATCCAGAAATCTCTTGTGATCTACAACACCGCTGACTTCGGCTTGTTCAAAGAGTACGTCGAAGACCGACCTGGGGCACATGCGCTGGACTAATCCTGCTAGCCGAGTCCGCCAATCGCACGAAGAAAGGCGGTCAGGAGCTCATCGGTGGTTTGGACGTGAGAGTGAATCGTAACTATTTCGGGAGACAGACGGAGAGCTTCGAAGCTGAGCTGGCCTTGCCATTCCTCGGTACAAAGGACGGAAGAGGAGACGTCAAACCGTTCAATGGAATCTTCATCAGAGCGCCAGTGGTCGAGAAAATATTGCCAGTGATACGAGGAGAGCAGGCGAGTGAAAGAGCGATCGACGAAACGGTCATTGCGCCGTCCCGGAGTCCTGAAGGTGAGATGAATGAGCAAGTTCTTCGACCTGTTGAAGTCATGGCTACTTTACCTGGTCGAAGTCGAACGCTCAAAAAACATGTCGCCGCAACGGGATTGGAGGACGAAGCTGGAGATATCATTGCTGTGAAGCAAGGCAATGTCTTTGGAACGAGCTTCCATCCAGAGTTGACGGAAGATGCAAGGATCCATGTATGGTGGCTGCAGCAGGTTAAAGACATGACTCAACACGAGGAAAAGAGTAGATTTCCTTGAAAATTTCCAAGGATCAGCATAATCCGGTTCTTTGGGGAGTTGTAGTATCCTCCTAGCCTACACAGCTATAGAGAGCCCTGAGCTGTGGGAGAAACGTCCGATATCCCTGATATTGTTACACATGTTACGATTGCTGCCGAAACGAGCGTATGTCTGCTCCAGACGCCTGCTGTAATCTTGAAACCTACACTACCTTCCTTTGCCGTACTCATCTTCCTCCTTTTGACGCTCCTCGGCGATTGCACGGCCGTAGCCTCCTCGTCCTGGATCGTACTCGTCGCGGTACTCGTCTCGAACCTGACCGCCAGACTTCCCTCGCCTAGAGTGAAAGTATCAATTATGAAAGCTTCCAAAGCCAGAGTTGTGTCAAGTCGACCTACCCATACTGTCTTCCCTCTTGAAAGCCTGGATCTAGGTCTGTCCGTATGATCCGCTCATCTAGTTTGGTACCTCCTATGTATTTCATACAGTCCAATGCATCTTGATGATTGTAGTATTCCACGAAACAAAAGCCACAAGGGGTTTTATGAAAGCGGTCAAGGCCCATGACAAGTCGCTTGATTTCCCCACATCTGCCAAGTTTTAGCACATGTATTTCAGCCAAGATACAGCAAAGTCTTACTTGGCGAATAATTCATGTATCTGCTCCTCAGTAGTGTAGAATGACCTGCATTGCATAAGCCAAATTTTCTCTGCAATAGGGACAAGTGGCTTCACATACAGATTACCCACGTAGAGTGTCGCAGCATCCTTCAATGGGTCGTCGGGCTCCTCGGGTGTCCTTTGTCGGCCGACGTCATCATCGTCCCGGTCACGACCATATTTACGCTTCTTATTCTGACAAAGAACGATATGGATTAGTCTTATAAACAACATTGTGCAGGTGAGAAACGCTCCTACCCTTCCCAGGTAGTAAGCACTGGGTTTGTCAAGCCTATCGACAGTAGTCTGCATCGCTGCTGGCACCGCGTCCTCCAGCCCAGGCAGATGGTAGAGATGTCGCGGAGAGCTGCTTGGAATTGGGAGCTAGAGCTAAAGTACAGCGCTAGTGAAAAGCGCGCCGCGGTTCATTGCGCGCTTTTTCCTGGGGAACAAATATGCCGTCAATGAGCTGCAAACTTACTATCTTCCTTTTAAGAAGGCTTTGCTGACCTGTCTGTCCAAAGTCATCTCTTGCGTTTTTCCTTGCTCGCCCTTCCGCAATGCCAAAGGTCCTGGCGTACACGCCCGAATGGCTGTCTAGAAACAACCCAGGATTCCAACTCTTCAACAACGCACAGCCTACGCAAGCTCAAGCGCAAGCAAGACAACGAGGCCCAGTACAGGCAGAGGACGGCAGGGGTAGTGACAGCGATTATGTGGGACCAAACAAGACCATCGCCCGGCGTGGAGCGGAAATCTTCACAGTCGTTGGCAAACACATTCGATGGGCAGACCTGAGCATGCTCAAGGAGAACTTTGAAGAGCAGAAAGCCACACCTTCGAAAGCGCCTAAATCTACGGGACCAAGAAGCGACACACAGGTCGAGAAAGACGGTCCCGAAGACGGAAGCTACAGGGTATGTAAATATATGGTGAGGATGCAAGGGTTATTGGCTAAATAGCCGTCCATACAGGTTCTCACCATTGCACTTGGCGAACCAATACGACGGCTAGCTGTATCTCCAAATGGTAATCTCCTCGCCATAGCTACAGCACATATGGTACACATTGCTCTACTACCGGATTCTTCCCACCTTGGACAGCTACCTAACGGAGCAATCAAACTGAAGGCTTTCGCCATTGGACCTACAACACATGTGCTATCTCAATCCCAAATCGCCAGCATACTATGGCATCCTTGCGGAGTTGCAGGAAACTGCCTCGTCACTATTACAGTCGACGCAGTTGTACGGATTTGGGAATTTAATCGAGATAACCGTTGGTCGACGGATAGCCCCACACTGGCTATAGATCTCAAGAAACTTGTGACGGGGTCTTCAGAAGAGCAGGATTTTGCCCCAGGCAGAGCAAGGAATAGATCCTTTTCTTTGGATTCTGTGGGATTGGAAGTGGCTTCTGCTTGTTTTGGAGGCAGTGGTTCGAGCGATGAGTCCGCATGGTCCGCTACTACATTGTGGTTCGCTATGAAAGGAGGCGATGTTTACGCCTTGTGTCCTCTTCTTCCCTCGAAATGGCAACCACCGTCCACCCTGATGCCGTCCATCTCGACGGCTGTCGTAGGGAAGACTGCCATGACCCAGGATAAAAGCCAGTCCAATCCGGAGGAGGCCCGGCAATACAACGACCAGTATGAGTGGATACGTGGGATAGATAGCCAGGATCCGACGGTTGTGGAAGGGAAAGACGAACTTTCACCAGGTATCGAAATTTACAGCCGCCCGACCACCCCTGGTGCTATTCCAAGGCTGCAAGGGCCTTTCCAAATGTTTTCTGAAGACACGGATGAATATTTGGAGCTATCTGATATCCACGTCGTTGCAGGCAAAATCGACGCCGAAGCACTCACAAGCGGTGATGACTCCGACTCTGAACCAGATTGGACGGACGGGCATAGCGTTTCAGCAGCTGTAGTCTGCCTAGTGACAAGAGGTGGTAGAGTCTATGTCTGTCTAGATCTGGAAGGAGTGGAAGGACAATGGTTGCCTCGCAAGAAACCGAAGCGGTTGCCTGAACCTCTGAAAGAGCCTTATCTGACCGTTCTTGAGGGGCTAGAAACATTGAACCCTACTGATTCACTTGACTTGGAATGGCCTACGTTCACTGAGGACGTGCAATCACGGTATTCATTCTTCATAACGCACAGCAAAGGAATTTCCTTCTTCTCACTCGATCCATGGGTGCAAAGTCTCGAACAAGAGCTGCAAAGCAACGAAAGTCTTGGAGCGCCGTTCCGCATGGATATAATCAAGAATGGACCTGGGACACTAAGGGAAAAGATGCTGACATTTAGCCACGAACAAGACTTGGTACCCGATTCATCTGTCGCTGCTTGCTTGGTGCTCGAAGATTCCAACTTGGGTTACTTCCTTCTGGCACCTGTCAACGGGGAACCAAAAGCAGCGATCTTGGAAATGCCTCCGCCCGAACCTGTAGTGCCATTCGAGGATGAAGATGAAGAGGCGAGCTTCAAAAGTATGCCAGCTATGGACACGCTGTCGCTTCGAGGTCCAGCAAGAGAAATCTACCAGGCACCGCAGATATTCTCCAGAGGTTCTTCGTTACCAGATTTCTTTGACAGACATGTCCCAAGTCACCACCGAAAGCTAATGAAAGAAAATGTCCGCATGTCGACTGCCACCCTAGACTGGATGACTTCAGCACACAGAGTCATCAGCAAAGAAACCCATCTGCTCGGCGTCGCGGCTGCAGATCTATTCCGACGATGCGAGAGGCTGCAAGACCAATTAAGAGACCAGATCAGCCGGGCCAATGAAGTCGCTCACCGCACTGATGTTGTCGTTGGCGAGGACGCTGATCAGTATGTGGGTAATACCACAGGCAAAGGCCATGCCACACTCGATGAGCGGCTGAAGAAGGTACGAGGCAAGCACCAAGAGCTGGCCTCTCGCCATGAAAAACTTCGAGAGAAATTCAGTAAAGCCGGAGAGGAAGTGAGTGAAAAGGAAAGGCTCTGGTTCGCCGAGGTCAAGAAGACGGCGGACTCGGTGGGAGTGGAAATGGAGGAGGAATCCCGAAAGCAAGAGGAACAGGAAGAAGGCCAAGAGCCAGAGCCAGAAACATTGCAGAGATATGAAGACGTCAAGGACCTGACAGCCGACCTCGTCGCAAGGGCCAAAGAGGCCGCTGAGCAAGGAAGCAACGAGCAGACGGACGGTGATGGCATGCATGTGATACCCTCCGATTTACGCAAAGAGAGAGTCACGAAGGTGATGAAGCTGTTGGAGCGAGAGTATGTTGACCTCTCCCAATTCCTCCCCTACCCGAATCCTCTCACTGACTCATAACGCTCAGATCTGCTCTTGTCGAAGCAGCACACTCCCGACTCAACCGCCTGGCTCTATCGTCTCTATCCTAACCTCCCACGCGGCGCGCAGCCATTGTCGGCTTGAGAACCCATTTGTAAATTACATGTTGAGCGTCATAGCGAAGCGTTCAAGTTGGAAAGGCGTCGATACCATCTCGCAATATGAAGAAACCCTCTCCCACCCAATCTGATCCCGCCTCGAACCGTGACCCCTCCACCCAATCCCATCCTTTCCGTACTTTAATGACTCCGACACCCCATCTACCGCTCGCCCCACATTGCCCCCTTTTCCCCCCAACCCTGTCGTCCCCAAACCGTAGCAGCACATACCACCGGAGACCCATCCGCCTGTGCGCGCCCCCTTTTGGTACGAAACTCAATCGCCAGTAGTCCAACCGAACCAACCGACCAACCAACACGCCAAACCCCTTCGATACCTCTTTTCCCTTCTTTTCCCTCCCCCGCCCTTCCCTTCCCTTCCATCCCCTCCTTCCAACTTTCTCCCCCAAAGTCTCCCATCCCATCCCATCCCATCCCAACCCATCCATGACGCAACCACCGGACGAAAGAAGAATACCGTAGGTAGGTAGCGTAACCCCTTGCAGCGATCCAAAAAGTTCGGTAGTCGGGATCGTCTAGCACTACGCGCTAATGCGGGTCATCCACTACCTACCCATTTTTTTCCCTGAAGGATTTTTTTGATTTTTTTTTCAGCTCAGCTGGGGCCGGCATGGGTATGTGGGGGGATGGATGGAATGAGGCGAGACTTGGTTTTTTTTTCTCAACTGTGAGGTGGGGCAGGGATCAACGCTTTTTTTTTTCTTTTTTTTTCTTCGTTTGCCGGGTTGCCCCGACGGCACAAAGGAACAGGTTTCTCCGGTCGCTCTTTGGTAATCTATCTGTCCTACTTTTTTTTCTTTAATCCATCATACCGATCTTCGTTATAACTCCCTTGTATGACTTTGTTGGCGGGAGGGGGCTTATGTGTATCGAGTCGGCACGAGTCAGCGATGTTGATCGCAAGGGAAAATCACCGAAGATCTACGCGGGCGTGGCAGGCCACCTGGGCTCGCGTGTACCGGTAAGTAACCGATTCGTGCGCGGGAAGATCTCCCCCAGCGATCGCATCATCAGCAAACATGAGTCCTCGGAATTATATGTATACAATATGGAGCGTGGCAAAAGCAGACCCAGCGCCTCATTGTGTACAGAACTCCTTGGATATCCCGCGCGCCAGAGATGCCACTGCCTTGCGGTCCCAGGTCTTTTCCCCCACGCCAAACAAATGCAGCCAGTGTACTCATGGCAAACGAACCCACCCCCTTTCCCCCCCACAAACACGCTATGCCAGAGTCAAAAGAGCACGATAGGAAATCGATCATCAGATATGGTCGTCATGAACCCAGAATCCTTCACCCAGTCGTGCTGCCTTGGTGTCAGATCATTCCAAGACCTGGCAGGCAGGGATTGGCCCTAGAGACAATTAGTCCGAGCTGCTGCTCGTGTCGCCAGATCTCTCCCGGAGCTTTTTCTCCGCGTTAGCTTGCTGCGTCAATTCAGGAGTACGTCGGCGCCGGGAGTTGATGAACCAGTTGCTGATCTGTTCACCAATGTCAGCTCTTCTGCGCCACGTCCTCATGATCCTACTAACCTGAGTCATTGCGAGACCGGTGCGCCTGCAAAGCATCTGCTTCTCTTCCTCGGTGGGGTAAGGATGAGCTATGTGCTCCTCAAACCATTGTTTAAGCATATCCGTAACGTCCCTGGGTAGGTTGCCTCGTCGCTTCTTTGGCACCTGAGAAGTCATGTCTTCCGACTCGAATTGCATGGGCCGGTGATAGCCATTCTGGTACTGATGACCATTCTGACTAGCATAATGTCCACTATAATTGGAGGATACCTGGTAGCCGTAAGATGCCGAAGCGTACGTAGAGCTCGAAGAATGATATTGAGGGGTTCCCAACCGAGAAGTACTGTAGTAAACGTCTCCGCGGTGCGATTCGTCGTTACTGTAGCCTCTTGCAGTATCGTACGACGATGAGTGGCCATTGAGGGTGTTGTATTGGTTGTAATACGGCGGTGGAGGTGGAGGCAGACCTGATGACTCTCCCTGTCGACTCTGAAAGCTGGAGTGAGGCGCTGTACTCTGATAAACTCGCCGACTGTCAGGTTCATTCACATATGGTGAAGGCGGAGCTGGTGAGTTTGACGCTGAACAACCATTTCGAGGGGGACCAGAGTGCATAGCGAGAGGATAAGGAGGCGGCGCATCGTAGCTTGGTTGCCTTGAGTTTCCGTTCTCCATTTGGCGATTCCTTCCAGATTGGCTCAGGGCGCTCGTAGTTAACGAGGGTCGAGTTCTGTCAGAGACGTGAGGTGGCGACAAATGAGCAGGAATATCCACCGAACGAGAGGGGCCTTGTGGGGTGTGTCGGAGTGGAGAACGGAGCTCCGACAGCGATCGGTCGTCGCCTTGACGTGGGATGTTGGGTAAAATCTTGCTCGAGTCAGTAGACAACAGAAGGAGACAACGGTCTATTGAGACCTACATCCTGAATGGAGGGCAATCTCTCCGAGATTTGCTGCCCACGGGAAACATGCATGGAAGATTGGGAAGAAAGTGAAAGTTCTCGCGGGAGAGCCCTAGACTGGCGAGGTGGAGAACGCATATAGGGCATAGCCTGTGACACGATCCTGATACTATGAATTGAGTCTTGCTTTAGCTGATCGTAGCCCTTCAGTAGCTGCTCGCAGGACACAAACGATATCTTTGATCATGTGTGTTCTACAGCATAGACTACGACAACATGGTTCCTGAGCCCAAGACAAACAACAGCAAAGATGGAGCAGGTAAACAGTACTCACGGGACAGTATTAGATGCCTCGTTCGAGTGAACGAGATGTGAGTTTCGAAACTCAGCTGAAGAGCCGATTGACGACTTTATAGAGTCCGTCACAGAGAAATATTCCGAGGTAAGTTAATGATCTTTAATCGCTCTTGCTCGGAGCAGGATGATGGTGCAAGTCTCGTGTCTCCCGTTATTGGCTCGGCAATTGATGAGTGAAGCGGTCAATATGTCTAGGCTTAGTCGAGTTTGACAGGTTGTCCGAAAGAATCCTTTAGCGACGCTCAACACGACTTTTGGGACGACTGTGACAGGAAGATCAGCGATATATCTCCGAAGATAATGCAGATAAAACGTGCGGATGTGATGGATATACTCGCGAGGGTCCCGAGGTTGCGGTGGATGAGTAAGAGCCGAAAGGAGAAAGCGAGGGAAGGTGAGGGTGAAGGTGATGATGGTAAAGAGGGAAGGTGGGACCGGGTGTCACGAAGAGAAAGAGCAACTCACGGCAACGCACCGACCACCTTTGAAAGTCAAAGGCCGTTTGACAGCCAAGGCAACCAGGGATTGGCCTGTGAGGCTTGTGTTGTTAGTGGGTCTTGTATTTGGCCCAAGTCCAAGTGGGGTTATGCAGAGGAGGAAAGGGTTGAATAAGTCGGCGAATTAACAAGGTTAGAAAATTGGGCGAATGGAAGCCACGATATGTTTCAAGTTCTGTTAAAGGGAATAATGCGGGTTGACCAATGTGTGTCTATTATTGTGGTAGCCTTCGGACTTTGCGGAAAGTATTTGACAAGCGTGAGACAGCTGGTCAAATACCTCTATTCAGTTTGGGGAATGATGTCTGATGTCTATCGGGCTTGGTTCCGTGGTACTGATATTGAGAATCACCTTTCTCTCTCTCTCTCTCTCTCTCTCTCTCTTCCTGTCTTTCTCTCTCTCTCTCTGTGTCTCTGTGTCTCTGTCTCTCTCTGTGTCCCAATTCTTACGGGAGAGTGGAGAGTGAAAAGCAGAAAAGAAGTCAGGTGCTGTTGGAGGAAGGACCCGAGCGGCCGCCAGATTTGAGCGAATTGAAGCTTATTATAAGATCGAGTCTGATCGTCATCGACCGGACTGTGAAAGTATTAGTAGTTTGACATTTGACAGATGCTATCCTTGTCTTCGGAGGCCATGTTGATGGCTGGAGTGCTTGACGGCATGAATGCTTGACCTCGAGCTATCACAATATGTATCCTTGGAGTGGTGGCTGTCGAGTCATTCAGGTGGCTTGGTATACAACAGAGCCTCGGAATGAGGGTGAGGCTGTGAGGAATTTAGAGTGGGTAGGGAGTCCGGCAGCGGGGTGCATCATCTGCCTAATAGACACCGGCTTGCGGGTATTATTCTCCAATTATAGCTCCAATCGAGCTCGAGCGAATATGCGAGCAGGGGCGAGAAAAGCAACGATTGGATCTGGTTGCATCTACGTACCGTCCATGAGCACGTTTGATCGAGGCAGCCACATCGATCGCTCATCCACATCATTGCCTCTTTTGCCCGTTGTCAGACCTTTCGGCCGGAGAAGGCCTCCCCGCCATCCATCACAGAGGGGGAAGAGGGTCCATGGCAGACAGGGAATTGAAATTGAGCGGGGATTAGTGTGGCGTGTCGTATCGTATCGTATCGTACCGCCTCTTTCAAGACCGGATTTGGGGGATCTGATAGACTCATGGAGTAATTCGGGATTGGAGCTTACAAATGAGTGGGGTGGGGGGAGGGGGAGGGGGGTTTGTTTGGTGAGCGGTTGCAGCCACGCGTTACAAGTGTGTCTCTTACACCGCAAGGGCACAGAGTGGGTGTGAGAGATAGGGTCATGGTTTGTGAGCAAGTAAAGTAGGTTAGTTTAATTTACGATATGACCAAGGAGGGTTTCAGGGTTCGATGTTGGCGTGTTTTGTTAAAGGAGGCGGAGGCGGAGGAGGAGGAAGAAGAGGAGGAGGAGGAGTAATACTATTAGGTGCAGGGATTAAATTTGGGTGGGGGGGGGGATGATAAGATGGTGTTTGGGACGGGTAGGAAGGCTATGAAGGCATCGTGCATAGGCGCTGCAGGCATGACATCTGGCTTCGGACCCAGCTACCAGGAATGTCTTTTGGCTTTGCCGAAAGTTAATTTCTCTCCGCCGAATATTGTGTCATGCATTAAAATTCAAAACTGGCATTTGCATCACGAGCTGAGAATATCAAGCGATCAAGGCTTAAAGCATTTTCCTTGCTATTTTAATCAATCGAGGGAAGGGAAGTGAACAGGCGCGAAGCTAAAGTGGGCACATACGAGTAGGCGATTCCAGAGTCAAAGCGTGTGGCTTCTTCTTCATTGGCAGACATTGATTGATTGATTGATTTAGAGAAGATTATTCGAGAGACTAAAGTAAGGTCCTTACGAGTACAGGGAAAAGTGGTGGGCAAACTAGATAATGCCTACTTTACCGTATGATCTACAGTACCCGGTAAGGTAAGTCTGCCTGTAAAATACCTTACTTTATGACATGTGCAAAACAAGGCTTAAGGCTTAAGGGATGCCGGCTAGGTAGGGAGAGAAAAGAAAAGAAGAAGAAAAGGAAAAGGAAAAGGGAAAAAAAGCCTACGACGGTCCAGGCCTTTGATGGACCTTTGACGATTTGTAAATGGCTTCAATCTTCCATTCCAAAACTCTCCTCGAAATTCTAAAACATGCTAGATAATAATTATCCATTAAAGAAAGTATCCTAAACCACTTTGCATTTGCCAGTCAACGGGAAAGTGGATGTGACGGCACACGATGGCAGGCCGGAAAGATGAGAAAATGACGCTTAAAACAAGCTTCCAGCTGCTTGAGCGCAGCGTGTCGAATCCAATAGTAAAGTAAGGAAAGTTGATCAATGCAGCGAGAGGAAGGAAGCTCGGAAGATAACGTTACATTTTTGACTTGTCATTCTGCTCATCGCCACTCGACCTTCATCGCCACCAGTCGCATTACAATCAATTTCTCCATTTCTCATCTCGACACCTCACCCTCATCGCTGCTGTCGGCCCCAGAAGCAGAGGGAGAAGGAGAAGGATACCGAAGTACCTCAAGACTCCCAGATCTTTAACTGTTGTAGACTGCTAGAGTATCCAAGTCCGTCAACCGCGTCAGGAAGGCGTAGTCGAGACTCATCAATGTGAATGCACCCACCCCATCCCCCTGTATCATCGTGCCAATGGCTGCAGCAATCTACCGTACCGAACATTTGCGCTCTCAGCATCCCCAGCACCAGTGATGAACGCGTGGGCAGTCAGCCGAATGTGCCTCCTCCCTATCTCCTCATCCAACAAATTCCTTTCCCACACCCTCAGCCTCGCCAGACCCACGAGAATTCCCCGAGCCTATGCGTCTAGCAAGCAGTGCCGGTGCCTCTTGTGACTTGTCCCCATCATTTTCAAGCCGCCTGTCATAACGGTCATACCCGTTTGGATCAGACTATGACGCTCACTCGATCCTTTTCCAACTGCCTGCAGCATGTTGGCTGTTGGCTCCATCTTCCTAAAATAGGCATCGGGCCCATGGCGGTCTAGAAGCTCCACGCCTCAAGTCTTGCTTGTTCACTTTTTGCATAAAATAAGGTAATTGTAACATAACAATAATAATGATAAGTACTATAACCGAGTACTTGTTGCCCTAGTACTGGACCCTTCACTCATCTCATTTCCCGAGTTCCGACGCCATGTCACCCTCACAGCTCACTGACCGCCACGCCTCTTTCATCTCCAACCCTTGTGCTTTCCAAAATCCGACATGGTCTGGTCTAGGGTTCTGACTATCATGTATAGAGCATTGTATACTGGAGTGTAGATGACGACGCTCAGGGTCCTAAGACGGACGGTGCCTCCTAAGTACTCTACGCTAACCCATCATCAAGCGTCATGCAAAGACAATAAAGTAGGTAATAGTAATTATAATGAAGAAGCCTCAGCATCCTGCGTGCGACACAACAGCCTAGGTAATTAAACTACCTGTACCTATGATCCTTTCTGAACCTTGACCCTTAATCCTTGATCCTGAATAATCTGCAACTCTACCGGAAGCGTCTACCGACATGAGATAGCAATGCGGTCTCTACCGCTTCCTAACCAGGTCCATGTCCCCGGCGAAAGACCATGCGATGATACCATGTCTTCGCGACTGCCGATCCATCGAGTAACTCCGACAACGCCAGATGTTACATTCCTTCATACTCAGGCACATCGAGCGTTGATCAGCTTTCCCTGTCTCCTCGCCATCATACCGTCTGAAGAGTCGTACCCAGTATCGCATGATGTGCCATTGCCCACTTTCTACAGCTTCACAAGGCAATTCCTGTGACTCAAATGCATCCCAGAGGAACCCGGCAACGGCGGCGGCGGCCAGCTGCATAGACCTTGCATGACACCCTTGTTGCATCTTGCTGACCCTTGCTCTCCTACTTCTCTAGTTCTAGAGTACTACTATTTTTTGACAACAAAGTTGGCCACGCTATGACACCGCCCTGACCCATCACGTCCCCATCCGAATAAATTCCATGCGCTGTCAGCAAGCCAAGTAATCTTATCAATCATGGCGCCTTTCAAGCCGATGGTGAACACCTTATCTGCTGCGTCATAAGATACTTCGGCGCTTATTCGCTTACTCTCATCATCTCATGGAACTTGGAACTCTGGGTTAGAAGCCGCGGAGACTATGTCCTCGTCGCAACTTACGACTCGCAAGAGTGCCTTCTGGCGGCTAGGCTCAGCTACTTTACTTTTACCATGATGGAATTGATGGTCTCGGGTCCGGGGTATGACTGCTGGCGTCGCGCCGATCGCGAAGCGTGAACCGAGCCAGCACGGCGCCGAGTGTGGATCGACGACGCACGCGCAGCCACGACCTGCCAGCTGGCAACGGGCCGATCTTCCAGGAACACCTGCAGGGACTCCCGATGGGAACGTCCATCGAAGCAGACTTGCAGATCTGCCAAGCCGGTTGTGCTCGATTCTGACGTCCTAGGGATCCATTTGCTGGGAGATGGAGGAGGTTGACATTTCTGTCTCCCATCAGGCCACTGAAATTTCACCACCGTGCAGACCTCCAACGTTCGCTGATCCCAAATCGCTTGCGGCACTATCTATTTGAAATACATTGGAATCAAATATCTCCTTGCATCTCCTTCTCCCCTCGATCCTCCTTCCCTACGCCCTTTCTCTGTCTTCGCTCCCTACCACAGCCCACCGACTGCACATCCGATGTCGCTAGACAGTCCACTCTAGTCCACCATGCCATCCCCATCATGCAGATCTTCTGCCGAACCCACTCCCCTTGCGTCAAACGAATGGGGCAAATCCAAATCCCGCCTTTGACGCCGGCCGGGGTTTCTAACAAGATAGCCCTTCCCTTCTCCAGCGCTGAGCCATCAACGACGGCAATGACGCTCTCGATCCTACCGCATCCCACCTAGTCCTCCCTACACACAGGGGCTTCGACCAAACACCAACCACACCCTCCCCCGGTTCGCCGTTTCGGGCGACTTCCTCTTTTCCAGTCGCCTAGGATGGGCTGCGCGTCCTTTCTCGGCACGTCACTGCGGCTCTCGGGACCACCGATGTGGAGGGGGCGCATGCAGGGATGGGATGGGTTGG